TCTGGTGTGATTTTTCTCATATATATATATATATATACACACACCACATCAACCTGTTTGATTTATCTATATATCTCGCAACAACTGGTATCAGAGCTTTGTTCGAATCTGAGGAAGACGATGACTGCAGATGAAGTGAAGGTTTCAGAGATCGAGAAATTTGATGACACAGATTTTGGTTATTTGAGAATGTAGATAGAGGATTATCTTTATGAAAAAAAAAACATAATCTTCCATTTTGGGGAAAAAACCTGAAATGATGGATGAGGCTGAATGAAATTTGTTGGATCGACAAGTTCTGGAGGTTATTCGATTGACCCTATCAAGGTATGTTTCACACATCGTCGTCAAGTAAAAGACAACTGTAGATCTCATGACAGTTTTATTAGGTATTGATAAAAAACCATCGGCGAATAACAAGGTGCACTTGATGAACAAGTTATTTAATTTGAAGATGACAGAAGATGTTTATGTTGCTCAACACCTGAATGATTTCAATACTATTACAAATCAATTGTCGTCTGTGGAAATTGATTTTGATGATGAGATATTTGCACTGATCTTGTTAGCTTCATTGTCAGATAGTTGGGAAGCCATGAGGATAGCAGTTAGTATTTCTGCAGGTAAATCTATATTGAAATATGTTGATATTCATGATTTGATTTTGGCTGAGGAAGTTCGCAAGAAAGATTCTGGCGAGGTCTCAGGTTCGAGTTCGACACTAAATGTTAGCCACATGAAAAAGAAATGCAGGAATCCTAAGAAGATGGAGAATGATAGCGCAAATGTAGTATCTAAAGAATCACATATCACATGATGCACTACTGCCACTACTGCTGACAATTCATAGTTCTGTTGAAGACTTGATATTGGATTCAGAGGCTTTGAATGTGGTAGGAAATCTACCAGATGCCACAGTGTAGGGTGGTGATGGAAGTGAAGAGGAAAGTGGGTCCAGGACACCCATTCTTATTGTTCTACAGACAGATGTTGAAGAACCACAAAGCTATGAAAAAATCTTGCAAGATGAAAGTTCGAGCAAGTGTTCGAGCTGAAAGTTCGAGCAAGTGGGAGCTGGCAGAACTTCCACCAAGGAAGAAGACATTACACAACAAGTGGGTGTATTAAGTGAAAACTAAGCGTGATGTCAGTAAGTGATACAAGACTAGACTTGTTGAAAAAGACTTTCAGCAGAAGCAACATGTTGCCCATGCAGTAGTAGTTGTAAGAAGAGACAAGAGTGACCCAGGAAATAGCTTGGAGGTGCAAAGCTATGTGGAGCCTGTTGATATGTTAACTGAGGGTGAGAAACTAGAGAAACTAAAGTTGTGCACAGCTTCAGTTGGTCTTTTAGAGTGAAGATAGAGGCTTTGAGTTGCAGAGGTGGAGGATTCAAGGTGGATGATACATGTTAAAGAAAAAGACAACACCGTCAGTGGATGATATCAGTTTGAGGAAGAAGATTTTGCAGCCTGTGTACCGGTCTCCAAATGGGAGAATTGTTAGAAACGGTGGAGCCCAGACCACTATTCTTGGGTGGTTACTTTGCTTTGGAGAGTCACGTCTCTTCACAAATAACCACTCCCGTCTTCCTCTTTTGTGAATTGAAGCATCTATTCGCTCCCTCCTATTCGTGATAAAATCTTTGGATGGCTCTCCTTAGGTTTAGAAGTCACAGTTTGAGTTCTTATTCAGTTTCCTCGGGATAAAGGAAGATTTCTCGAGGCAAAGGAAGAGAAGTGCAAGCGGTAGTTCCTTGCGGCATAAGGAATAAGAACGAAAAAGAAGAAGATTGTTCTCCTTAGGCTTTCTTCTTGATGGCTTGTGACACAAGAGAAATTGAGTTTATTTCTCTTGTAAGTTTGTCTTCTTCGGTATATCTCGGTGTAGAGTTTCTTCGGTGTATCTCGGTGTAGAGAGAGAAGAACAAAAAGAAGAAGAGAGAGCAACGAAGTGAGAGTGAGAGATTTCTCTTGTAAGTTGAGGTGATCGACTGGTGTAAATTCCTCAAGTAGTAAAATCCTAGGCAACTCCGTGAACGTAGGTAATTTGCCGAACCATGTAAATCTGTGTGTTCTTTTATGGTGTGATTTTTCTCGTTTTATTTTTCAATTCGTCAATCGTTCTCCTGTTTGATTTATTAATATATTTCGCAACACCATCAACAACTTTCACAGGACCAAAATGACAAGAAATTAAATTCAGCCAATTTTGATAGTTAAAGATCAAATTTCCACAGAACTATGCATAGAAGATAATGAGATGTAGGTGTTGTGAAATATACCAGTTGTTGTGGTATATATATATATATATATACATACATACATACATAGAGGAACACACATATTTACGTGGTTTGGCAAATTGCCTACGTCCACGGAGTTGAGAGGATTTTACTACTTGACGAATTTACACCAGTCGATCGTCTCGACTTACAAGAGTAATCTCTCACTTCGTTGCTCTCTCTTCTTCTTTTTGTTCTTCTCTCTCTACACCGAGATACACCGAACCGAGATACACCGAAGAAAATAAACTTACAAGAGAAATAAACACAATTTCTCTTTTGCCCTAAGCCACCAAGAAGAAGTCAAGGGAGAACAATCTTCTTCTTCTTCTTTCTTTTTCCTTCTGCCGCAAAGAACTACTGCTTGCACTTCTCTTCCTCTGTCCCGAGGAAGTCCGAAGAAGATCAAAAAAAATCGTGAGCGATGCCTTTTATCGCGAACAGGAAGCAGAGAGACGAAGTTTCGCGAAACAGCAGAGAGCCGCGACTATTCGTGATCGGACGAAGCGAAGCTTCGCTTTGCACGCGGGAGCAGGCGGAGACAGGAGTGATTTTGTGATCGAGCGGGAAGGCGAGATCGGGATCCAGCTAAAAAAATCTCCCACTTGGAGACCGATACACATGCTACAACGTCATCTTCCTCAAATTGATATTCTTCACTGGCGACGACGCCTTTTTTCTTTAAACACGAATCCTCCACCTCTGCAACTCAAAGTCTCTGTCTTCACTCCAGAAGACTGACTGAAGCTGTGCATAACTTCAGTTTCTCAAGAGTAACACCCTCAGTCAACATATCAGCGGGGTCAACATTGTTTTGCACCTCCAAGCTATTTTTTAGATTACTCTCGTTTCTGCTTACAACTTGCACTGCATGGACAATATCCTGTCTCTGCAGAAAGCCTTTTTCAACAAGTATAGCATTGTA